ATTCACCAACTCATCCATAAATTTAACTACGAAATAGCACAAAAGACTATTCTTCATGTAGTACCATTCCATGTTTCCTCACAAAAAGGAGAAATAGGTCATGGGGCGGCTGTGGCCCATGAGGTAGCACAGGTCATCCCCTAACCCCCCAGCTACTCCAGTGTTTTTGGTCAGGACAGTGGACCTGCAGTTGGACCCCTATGTTATCACCCATGTGTGAGCATGCGAGTGGGTGAATAGGCTAACAGTGTAAAAGTGCTTCCTTAGGTAGAAAAGTACCATATAAGTACCATATAAGACCATTTATCCTTATTGTTGGTTTATGATGATGGTAAAATGGGGCAAAGTAGAGTGGAACAGCCTGAAGATGCTTGTTGGTTGCATTTCTAAATTTACCTATTATGTCCCAGCACGTTTATGGACAAACATGAAGGTATACAAATATGCTGGTGCCTAATCCAGTTGTTTATCATCATGCAAAGGCAGACCAGGGAAAAAAGTGGACCATAATATCAGCTGGTTCAGACCACACATCATGTCCAAATACCTTTGTTTGAAATGAAAATCTGTTAACAGTTTGAGTTTAATACATTCCACTGGTTCTGAAACATGTTTTATGCAAGCAAACAGCTACAGCTACTTTCTAAGACAGTTTTTAAAACCATGTATTATAAATGTCTAGATAGTATTGGTTGTAAAATAGTAAAAGCAGTAATTACTGAGTTTAAAGCAACTGCCTTTTTAAAGGATTACTTTATATTCATCTCTGTCTGAAGAATATAATCAAAACATTCATCTTCACTAAATGGGCAAATAAGTGTGAAAAGGTTTCTGAAAAGAAGTTCAAATAATTTGCATCTCATCCCCATCACCAGCAGTAGTCAAAAAAACAGCACACCTATAAAAGCCAGTAGTTCTGATAGTGTAAATGCATGTATGGAAGCAGTGGAGTACACAGTATTATAACAGAGAAGATAGCATTGTGCTATTCAGGTGACAGTCAAAAGAGGCTTACATATGTGGTGAGGATCCTACGTTATGTGACCTTGGCCCTCACATTTGACTCAGCACAGCGTTATTTTTAACAGTCAGGAAAGTGTAAATGACTTGTACTACTAAAAGAAATCTCTCACACACCTCTTCATGCCTTATATTGATTGATTACATGAAAGAAACAAACTCAAGCAAACAGTTCAAAGACTGGCTTTACAAACGGTCAAACAATGAAACAAGAAATGTCAGAACACTGCAACCTTAGCCGTGCCTGACTGATCCACAGAACATGACCTGGATTTCTCTACCTGTTAGTAAAGATAAGTCCTCTCCTTTATCCAGAAGTCAACACTTCAGTGAGGATAACACTCAAAGAGCAATCAAGCCACATCATATCAGTATTAACCAGTGAACGAAAGCCATCGATACCAAACAAAGAGGTCTAGTGAGTGTTTTTACAGAGGCAGACACTCAGATCACACTTTCAAGGAAAAGCAAATTGAATGAGACAGTGCTGTCAAAACAACACTGATAGGGCTGTTATACTCATGTGTGTGATACTAGAACCATGTCAAGAGCTGGACAACAAGGGCTGTCCCGTACTCAGGGTATTCACGTTTTCTTTACGAAACACCGGCTGCAAATGTTACATAGCCTGGTATTGTGCATGGTTATTCTGTGCAAAATTATATCTTTCATCAAGCATTAATTAAAGACAACTTGAAAAAAAAAAGCAGGATTTGTGTCAAATTGCTCAGCCTTTCCAAAATATGGATCAATCCAGAGTGCCAACCAGTATGCATGACCACTGGATACAAATTCACATGCAATGTCAACTCTGTAGATGAATATTAAGTATGTAATATAAGTATTTCTTGGGGGACAGCATCATCATCTGATATGTGATGATGAATCAGTTAGCCTGCAGCTCTGACTAAATTTGATGCTGTAATCAAGCCCGCATGTAAACCAGAAACCTGGGTTGTGATTACTCTATTAACTTGAGGAAAAGTAGCAAAACAAAACAGCTGATGGGAACCTGAAAAATCAGAAGTGAAAGTCCTTACTGTGCAAACAGAATAGCCAGCAAAGCTGCACAGTGGAAGATGATATACCTACAGTAAGAACATTGTGTAGGTCTATTAGGTTAGTGTTAAATTACCTCAAACAACTAGAAGGGACAGAAAGGTTCAGCATATTTTCAATCAGCGCATGTTTCTGGCACTTCTATCTTGCTATTGACTACTCTAGCTGACCATAACATTTTGCAAAGGTTTATTCTAAATGAAGCTTGACATTACTGACTTCAAAATAAAACCTATTTCTGGGATGGAGGGACCCTGTTATTTTATATAAAAAAAAATAAAATCATGCGACTTGTAGGTATCTGATTTCTATAATATTGTACAGCTCAGTGTTGGTCTATGATGCTGAACATCAGAAAGACTGATTGTAGTGATGATGTCATCTGGAGACAAATCCCCCACAGATGGTGACTAATAGGACAATGGTGACCTTAATGCAACAGAGGGGTGTTTTCAGAGTCACTGCAATGCAGCCTACATTCATAAAAAGACTATCTTGCTTTAATTGTTCAAAAAAAGCTTTTCTACAGCAATTGTAACACTGCAGGTCCACTCATCTTAACAAAGCTTCATCATAAACCATCCTTTGTTGCCTTTGTAACAGTTCTACATCATAAAAATCAACACCCACCCTGTAGCCTTATATTTTCCTGGAACCTTTCGCCAAAGGCCATAATATTCTGTTACTGTACCTCCACCACACACACCAATGTTATGTACACAGTAAAGGATGTTAATGTTTGGAAACCCAGCTTACAGCAGCAAAGCTTTTAAGATATTAAATGATACTATTGATAACTGATTTCCCTTTGGCACTGCCCACAATGTTGAGGTAGACTCCTTTCTGCTAAAGGGATGTTGTTGTTTGGCTAAACAGTGACCACTGTGTTTAGATCAAGTGCCTCATAGGGCAGTGACTGAATCGCAGATTTCCCAGTAGTTATCTTTCCTAATTTGTGCAGCAGGGCTGGAGGTTTTGCCCTATTTTCTTTCCTCCTCTGGAGTTCAATTTAGTATCTTATGGCTGCAGCATGAATATGATCCAACCACGCTGCAGGGTGGTGTTTGTCCTTCAGTGCAGGTACTACAGTACATAGAAGACTATCCCAGGCTACGGAGATGAAGTGGCAAAGCAGATGAGTCAAATGCATATGCACAAGAGGACTGTACAGGCAGTGAGGGCAGACATAGAGGAGAAGGTGGGAGGAAAAGGTAAATAATGATAAAAACTGAGCATTTGCTTTCAACATAGAAGCAGATCAAAATCTGTGTGCATTACCCAAGGACTTATATGTTTCTATCACAACCCTCCAGGGATTCCTCAATTCCTCTAATAACTGTGCATTACGTTGCTCTTCTTCCATCATCATCTACCTGATCATCCTCTAAAGCCTTGGTCATCACTCTTCCTCAGCGGCATCACAACCATTGTTCTCCTTTCTCTTTCAGTCTCTCCGCTGTAGAAGCCTCATTCTTCCATCTCTCTGCCCCACTGATATCCTCCTCATTTGCATTGGTTTTACACATTTATCAACTTGCCTCTTGCTGCCACATAAAATTTCTGTCTACTCCCCAGTAACACTAAACATGTTAAGATGACCAGATCAGTTATAAAGGTTAATATGTGAGAGATTTCTTCCTTGGCTACATAGCTTGTGATTGCTCGTTTTCAATCAGATGTACTGTGGTTCAGTAAAAAGCTTGCACTGTGTCTCTCGAGTGCAACAGAACTGTAAGTGGTTTGTGTTCATTTTTATCTTCAAGTGGGTTAACATTTGAAATATAGCCAAATACTGAATGGAAGTCTCAAAGATTTCAATCTTGCTGCATCATAACAAAATATCTTTTATACCACCAGCCTAACATGCACTACACTGTATATTCCACTGTGCTGCATCAACTCCAGGAACATTACTGCTATTTTAAGACAAGGCTTGTACTGTAAACATCAGACAGCTTGAAGAAATAGCATACAAGTGGACACAAGCGGCCACTTGAAATGTATTCTGCATGACTGAATGAGGACCAATGCTAAAGGACACTGTATGGTGCAAAGCAAACCCTGCCGAGTCCCAGCTCTCTCAGAACAATGAACAGCTAGACAACGCCTGTCAGCAACTGCCCTCCCCTGTGGCAGGGATCGGCACAGAGTGGTACACAGCAGGCATAAAAGAACACACGGATCCTCTGCCAAATATAGGATTCAGACACACATGAGCCTTACACAACATAAAACCAGTATCTTCAGCAGAGGCTATTTTGATGGACACAGGTGTGGAGTACCTCACAGTTTTCAGCTTCAGTCTCTGTACAATCTGGCACTGTGGATGGGAGAAACTCAACTGAATGAGACATTCAAATGCTAGAAAAATATGGGCTAATATTATGCACAAGATGTATATTAAAAAAAACAGATGGCAGGGTTCAGTAAGTCTTTGCCACAAAGAGAAGTCAGAACAGCCTGAAGGTGTCGTTCAATAAAGCAATGCAGGAAAGGAATCTAACCATTAAGGACATCTAAAATAGAATGACCTTCCTCATCTGATGAGATACTAAAGGCCTTTCATATAACCACAATTGATCCTTTTTGGCGTAGACTGGGCTGCGCATGGATGAATCACCGAGGATTGTAGCATTAGGTATGAACAGACTTCCAAAAGCAGCTCCAGTCCTTTCACCGAGTTTCCCAGGAAAAGCTAAGCCAGACTTTTAATGCAAAAACGTTTTCGGCGAAAGCTCACTTCCCTGATGTTACCACTGATGCTGAGGATAAATGTACAGGCTGAGCGTTCAGCATCATCCACCGCTCCTCCGGATGCCTGGAGGAAGAGAGCGCTACAGCCTCGCCGCAGGGGTTCATCGGTGTTTACCGACGATTAACTGTCACGTTATGGAATTGTAGTTTAGAAAAAGGAATCTTACCTGGAGAATTTCATATGCTGATCAAGTCACCTCCTTATGAGATGTGCGAGGGAAGGTGCTGGCTGGTCGCGCATCCCTCACCGTGCGTTTCACCGACAGAAAGCATACGGAGCTCCGTGGCTCACTGCGGCGCCCCGGAACGAGTATACAACAAAACGAGCCCACTGCAGTTGTCTGGTCGGTGCACGCCGTCAGCCACCCCACCCGGTCAGCCCTTAGCAGGCACTGTGGAAAATATTACCTGGGTATTGAAATATTCAACAACTAAACACTACATGGTCTTTAGTGCCAAACACTGTCCTGCCTTTTTCTTTTAACGATCCATCTTAACCTAATTTTGTTTTGATGCACCCACTCAACACTGTAGATGAAGTATAACCGTGTAACAGCTAAATTGGCTTCAGTTGTGTTAAATGTTTAATGCTGCGAAAATCGACCTTAGCATTAGGCAGAAAAACGAGGGCCAATTTAGTAAACAGGCTCAGAGGTGGGATATGTTTTTGTTCAACCTCCACCCCACTGGTGTTTTCACTTTTTGTCTGACTGGAACTTCTCTAGGGATCTGGTTGGTGAGATTATGCTTAATTGGCTTGTTCATCACTGCTGCAGTGTGCACTTTCAACTACTGGTCAGCTGAGTTTGGTGACACCATGTAATTCCCATCATAGCTTCACTCTGATAAGAAGTAATCAACCAAAATAAATAACAGCACTGGTGAGGATGGCAGGGTCTCCAGGTGATATTCTATCAGCAAGTTTTGTAAAGTGATCTGTATGAATTTTTAAAGGGTCAGTTCACAAAATGTACAGGAAATGCAGCATTTCCTCACTTTTGATGGTATCCATGCAGCAGGTTTTGAGATCAAGCACACATTTGAGATCACTGGAGGTGCTCAAATCACTGAAATATTACATTCTGAAGATTCAGCAGCAGCAATGTATCGTTAAAAGTTTCCCTATAGTTTATCATTTCTCACTAAAAAAGATTCCAAAGGTAATTGTTCATGCTGAGGTTTGTGGGCAGTCCATTGTAACAGTGACTCCAGAAAGATGTGTTGCTTGTTTATTTCATTCAGAGGTTAATTCAAATAACATTCATTATCTCTCTTGCAAACTGCATCAACCACAATGTATGGCATTAGATCAGCCTTCGAATTTATTGTATTGAGATAGAAAATGCTTTTAAGCCATTTAACTGAACCAAACTAAGTTATGCCAACTGTCAGATGGAGGCCTGCGCTGCCACTGAGTGGCAATGTCTGAACATTACAGCTGAACAAAACAAGAGTGCAGCCACAGATGGACAAGGCTGAAGTCTGTCATGTTAAATCCACAAGAGTAATAATAGTAGGACTTTTTTATTACTGTTAATAATGACCATCTATAGCTTTTATAGGCAGCTGTCTTTGAATTTCCTCTTCAAAATGCTAAATGAATTTTAATGGTTTCTGATGTGAGCAAAGATTATATGTATTTAATCAGATACTGTAGGATATCTGGAAACCACTTTCTCTTTGCAGTAATGATGGCTTGGTTCAGGATATCAGCTGTGTATGGAAACAAGTAGCAACAGAATAGTTACAACTGGATAAAATTAATTTGTGTGTAAGATGTTGTTGTCAGTGATTGCAACACTTAAAATTTCTTTCTTTCTTTCTTTCTTTGTATTATGATTCAGTGACATTTGTCCTCAGTATTTATCAGGAAGGCCCTTTGGCCTGAGAGTGCTGAGATCTCCTCCATTCCGTCCAAAGCGGTTTGCTGCTCGATCAGCCTCAGAATCCTCACCACCATGACCCGTTTTTTCCTGAATCCATTCTCTGGCATTGCTGAAACAGAAAAATAGACATTAGCACAAGCAGGGGACAAAACAGTTACTTTTCAAAATGTACAAAGTGCTGTAAAGGGCTTATTATCAAAAACAGCATTGATCAGAGCACACAGAATAAATAATTGATCTTAGATCTGTCTGTAGCATTATTAACAAGAATTACTTGTTGAGAAATAAGCAAAAAGTGGGCAATGCTTCCCTACTCAGTGCTCCTCACCTGATAACCTCAGCTGCCCACCTCCCCCCATTTCCCCGCTGGGCAGCATCAGAATTTCCTCTGGCGTGAAAGTATTTGTCTGCACCAATCCAGTTGGCCTCCCTCATGTCACTGTAGGCTCGCCACATATCACGAGCACCTGATCAGAATGACAACAGACAGGTTTAGTCAAAGGAGTTTGGGAAAAACATGTCATTGTCTCATAAACCACAGAATCCTGGACACAGTTTTTAAAGGTATTAAGGTCAAGTTTCTAACCTTGAGCAGCTTCAACGGGAAACCTGTACCACTGGGCGTTGGTCTCCACAATTAGAATCAGAGCAATTCCTGCTAGAAGCAACTTCATGGTTACAGATGTCTAAAAGGGAAAAAAGGTTACGCATAGTTAGTAAGAGTAACAGTAGAAACACAAAATTATACAAATAAATGTGTGTTCTTCAGTTTTTATCACCAAGTTAAAATGAAAACTTACTTTTCAGTTCCTGCAGAGTGTCTTAACAGATTGCAGAGTATCTTGTCAGTGTCGATTCTACTGATCTGACTCTTTTTATACCGTGTGCTAAAACAGCTGGGTTGTAGGATTTCTTAATGATTGAAAATCCAGGTCTGAACTGTTTGAGGTCTGAAATGTCAGACAAACATGCTGAGGACATTCCCTAGTTATGCAACAACAGGTATGGACAAGAGCAGGGACAACAGCAAGCATCATGTAAGCAAGAATGTTCAAGAGATGTTTTGCTACATGTCATGAAAAAAACAGTTTCTGTTGGTCATTATAATTTTGGTAACTTGATAACTTTGGTACCTATGCTACAGTAGTTTCTAGGGATGGGACTATATGACTTTTTCTCAATATGATTCAGTGCACAATATGGTGTGTACAATACTATTAAAAATTCAATGGCAGCAGTGTCTGACTTTCTTCAGTGATTGTTTATTTTAGCCACTTATGGTTATGCTGTTTTCTTTCATTCAGGACACGACAGACCTAATGTGCTGTTAGAGGGAGTGTACTTGTTTAATGTACTGTAATACTAAACCAAACAACTTTTTAACACTGCAAACAAAACAATTTAGTCAATGTACATCTTCAATCACTACTGCTTTAGAGCATCCAGAGGGTTTTTATATGTTCATGTGTGTGTGGCACTTTTTCTACCATACTTCTAGTAAGATTATATTGTTTTGTAATTGTCTTTTTGTTTCTATATTCAGGTCAACTGTTCCCTTCCATTAAGCTGCAGATGCCTCAGTCTCTGTAGCTTCTCCTCTGCATCATCTCTCAGGCACATGGGCCTAAGAGGGTACTTACACATTTATAGTGTATCATTTAACAGTGTCCCTTCATTTAAAAGTCCAGTTTCTGCCAGTGTCTGTGAAAATGTGTCATTAGCCACATATAATTAGTTTAGGATGGAGTGTTTTGCTGTGTACTGCTAGTTTGTGCTGCACTACCTCCTAAGCAATAGTTAGCAGTAGTAAGCTATAGTAGCACTGATGAAGATGAGATCCTGGAGAGAAGTGCTGGCATATCTGCAGCCAAAGCAGGAGAATAACAGAGTATGTTAAACAAAATAACAAAGAAATAAAAATTAAAACTCACTTACTTAGATATCATTTGAAAGGAAGACCTACAACATGAAGAAAGAACTCACGTATGTGCATGAATACATGTCTGTAACATTGTGGTTTTTCACATTTGTACAGTGACATTGTTCAGATGTAAATATAATAATGTTGATGCATGGAAAGATAAAGCACTTTATTAGGTACATCTTTACAACCGAATGAAATTCAATGCAACAGCTGTGACTTAATGTCTATAAAAATCACAGTGTTTCAGTTTTTTCGATGAAATTATTGGAAATGTGTAAGTTTATTATTGAGGTCATAGTTAAGTGTGATGTTACACTGGGGTGCAATTAAAAAATAAAAATAAAAAATTAAGCTACTCTTATTTCATAAAAGGTGTAAGTTGCCGTGTGGAAAAAAACCCTTTTTGGTCAATACACAGAAAAGTTAAGATTCCTCTGGAGCCTTATTTTAAAAAGAAAATGCAAATAAAAGATGTCATACTGTGAACAAAGTTTGCTCTTTCTTTATATTTTATTTTAATGAAAAGGTGAACATTATTTCTGCTTACTGCACATTTTGAGCTCCTGAGCTAAGAAGGTTATGGCTGTTTTGTTTTCATCTAAAGGACATTGACCCCATGTGGGGGCGCCTGTGGTTCAGTGGGGAGAGCAGTCAGTAGAGGGTCGGTGGTTGGAATCTCAGTCCTTGCAGTCTATATGTCGAAGTGTCCTTGGGCAAGACACTGAACCCCCAAGTTGTCCCCGATAGTTAGAGACATTGGTTGAGTTGGTACCACAGCGCCTCAGTTCTGTGCCGGAAATAAATTCTTTGTGTGTAACATACTTGCCCAAATAAAGTTGATTATCCACATAGATAAAGCTTCTCATATCGATAAAGGGCAGGTTACTCTGTGGGAAATTCCCACACTGGCCATTGCACAGAAACGTCAACATTTCTCTGGAGCCTTATCTTAGTTTTGAAAGAATATTGGACTTTAGATGTCAAACGGTGAACAAAGCCAGTGAAATTCAGTTTAAAATTAACTTTGCTCATTCAGTTCACTTCTACAGAAGAAGTAAAGATTTGATGAACACTTTAAACAGTGACCAGACATAGGCTATTTAGACATATACAGAATATGAAAATATACTAGTTGAAGCTAAATGTCTCTGTGTCCAGAGATCGGGTCGGTTGTCCTGTTGGCCCCATCAAACCAGGACCTCCAGCATGCACTGGGGCGGTTTGCAGCCGAGTGTGAAGCGGCTGGGATGAGAATCAGCACCTCCAAATCCGAGGCCATGGTTCTCAGTCGGAAAAGGGTGGCTTGTTCCCTTCAGGTTGGTGGAGAGTTCCTGCCTCAAGTGGAGGAGTTTAAGTATCTTGGGGTCTTGTTCACGAGTGAGGGAAGGATGGAACGGGAGATTGACAGGCGAATTGGTGCAGCCTCTGCAGTAATGCGGTCGATGTACCGGTCCGTCGTGGTGAAGAAGGAGCTGAGCCGTAAGGCGAAGCTCTCGATTTACTGGTCAATCTACGTTCCGACTCTCACCTATGGCCATGAACTTTGGGTCATGACCGAAAGGGCAAGATCCCGGATACAGGCGGCCGAAATGAGCTTTCTCCGCAATGCCAGGGTACTGGAGAGGAGAATTTGACCGATAGTCGAACCTCGGATTCAGGAGGAACAATGCGGTTTTCGTCCTGGCCGTGGAACACTGGACCAGCTCTATACCCTCTTCAGGGTGGCGGAGGGTTCATGGGAGTTTGCCCAACCAGTCCACATGTGCTTCGCGGATCTGGAGAAGGCATTCGACCGTGTCCCTCGCAGCGCCCTGTGGGGGGTGCTCCGGTGGAGGAGCTGGAGGAAGTGTCTGGAGAGAGGGAAGTCTGGGCATCTTTACTTAGACTGCTGCCCCCGTGACCCGGTCCTGGATAAGCGGAGGAAAATGGATGGATGGATGGAAGCTAAATGTTGTGTGGGTACAGCAGTACATCCTTGATTTTGTGTACATACAGTTGTCTACTATCCCTTTATTCCTTCATTTGAATTTCTAATACACTGAAGCCTGGCAATTCAGGAACTGTTTTATTTTGTGTGATGATGGAAAGCTTTAGTCCACAATGATCTCTGAGTAATTTTCCTTCTTCAAAAAAAATAATAAAATTAGTTTGGGTGAATAATTAATATTAATAGCTTTTCAGCTAGACAACAACAATGCATTCCATTAAAAGTAGAGTTTGGTAATTCAGTACAAATATCTTAACTGCGACCTTCAAAATCCAATTTTGTTGAACCTTTGGACATTATGTATGAATTCAGACAAGCATAAAGGTACCCAATAATAATGTACATCATCACTAGCACTACAAACTAATTTAGTTTTAAGTGGACTGATGTGTAATATTATTGCGATGCATTAATAGCATCATAATCCTGTAAAAACAATTTACAAGTATTTTGCTAATTCCCTTTTTGCTGGTAATTGTGTGAGCCACAGATGCAGCATCATAAACTTGCTCTTCAACAACAAATTGCATCCTCTAGTATCCGTCTTTCATTCAAATGTAACATTTTGTACAATTTCAAATTGTTAACACAGGGACTATGAGGCTTAGAAAAGTGTGTTAAACACTTCACTATTATTCAAATTATTACTATTATTTCAAAGACTAAATACAAGATACCATCTAAATGATTGATATCAGTACCTGGTTTATGGAAGGCTCAGTGGTTTGTGTCCATGTAGAAACTTAGAATAAACCCGTGTTATGGCAGAGTGCATTGTGCTGTTTGCCATAACACAGGTGCATTGTGCTGTTCACTAACCCACTGAAAATGCATCACACCCTGATAACAACTGCTCTTCGTGCACATCGAATGTGGCAGCTCTCTGAGCTTTCAACAGGGAGAAAAATCTCTTTGCTGATATTTTTCACTTGACAGTTGAAATGCCTCTGCATTTGCATCATTTTGCTATTACACATGCTCTTGCACATCACGTATCATACTTTTGTTGATTCATTATGTATCATGACAACTGCAAACCCAAATCACCTAGAATGCTTAATGGTAATGGTTTAAAATCAGAGAAGTGGTTTTAAATGTTGAAAAGATTTATTTTTTAAAAATGTCATACTTTAGCAAAATTTGTATGGTAAAAAATATTGAAAAAAGAACAAGCATCAAATTAGCAACAGTTTGTAATCACAAAATTACTGCTTCTCTAATGGGTTTTTGTCAGCGAAGAGATTTCATATTTCAAATATGTAATTTGAAATATATATTTCTTGAGCACTATAAATGTCTACATCTGATGTGACGATGGCAGTGACCAAGGCTATGAGTTCCTCCATACTGAATCTATTCTTAACAATCATATGGTATAAAAATGCTTTATTCTCTTATGTCTTCTTGACCCAGCGGTTTATTGTTGTGTCATTTGCCTGAAGCCTATGCTTTTGGCCTTAAAAATATACTGCAGTAGTACAGCACATGAATGCCAAGGCTGGTGTGCACTGACTCAGCTGTGTTGCCTATAACAATAATAGTCTTGATTGCAATATAATAGCTCTAAAATTACCTGGAGTCTGTCAGTGCTCATGAAGCTCTCCTTTGTAGACTCAAATAAAAGTACATCCCACAGACTGAGCAAATCTTTGTGAAGAAATTACACAACATCACTGAAAAGCCCCAAAGGATTAAAGCATGGCTCAAGTTGTTTTGATGAATGTGTTGTTTTGAGTTCAGACAAGACATTTTGACAGGCTAATAAATATTCATCGCAAAGATAGCAAGAGAAAAAGTGAGGGAAGAAACCTGATGCAATACGGAGTCTGAAATAGGAAAAGCGGTTTGTGTCTAGAGTCTGATATAGGCTACACATACAGAGATTGTAATTTTTCACTAATGATTGCACTGCGTATGTGTAGATT